GTTTGAGAAATTTAGCTAAAACTCACAAAATAGCTGTCATTACAAGCATTCATCAGCCGAGCAATGAATTGTTTCATATGTTTGATAGCATTTATGTTTTAGCCAAAGGAGGCTTTTGTGTCTTTGATGGCAAACCTCAACATTTGGCTCAATATCTGAATGAATGCCAAATTGAATGCAATGAATACGAGATTCCTATTGAAGTGTTGCTAAAGTTATCTCAAGGAATAAACAGAGAAAACATCAATAAATTAAATGCAAAACATTTACAAACAAATGGAGACAATTGTACGGAAGATATGTTACAAACAGTAAAAGGCATTCAATCAGAACAGAAATGCTTTAAATTCATAGATTTATGGATAATAATCTGCAGATTCTTGAGAATTACTTTCATAGGAAACGGATACAAACTATTGAGACAAATGATTATATTTTTCATATTTCATGCAATTATGGCAACTGTTTTCAGTGAAAAACTCTCAACAGTTAACGGATGTATTGAATCCATTGAAGACATGACTTGTATTGAAAGGGAAGACTACAAAAGAATTTGGCAAAAGAGCGTAAACTATATCCATATATCGCTTCTCATATCGTTTATAATTAACACATCAATTATGACAAATAGTTTTGCCACTGATTTCAATGTATTTTTGCAAGAATATCGTAACCGTAAGAAATAATAAAAAGTATTACTTAAACATGATTATTTAAAAAAAAATACTGTTTGTCAACAGACTGGTACAATTCGGGTGTATTTTTTTGGTCAAAAACTTTTGTCGACTCGTTATTATCATTGATATCTTCCATAATATATTTGTTAACCATTTATTGGGTTTATTATGATTTAATAGATTTGCAAAGATTTTTATATTTATTTTATGTGATATTTGTGTCAATGCTTTGCAATCAAACAATATCTTCAATATTTGGCATAATATTTATAAAACACAAGACTTTATCCCTCTCTGTATCGATAGCAGTGATGTTTGCACTAATCAATTATGATAACTATGCCATACGTTTGGATGATATGAATGAGATGTTGAGGTTTTCCAGCAATTTTTCATATATTAAATACACATTCAATTCAATATTGTTATTAATATATGGTTTCAAACGATGTAAAACAGAAGGTCTATCCGAAGTATTATTAGAATATAATATAACTGATGGAAGATTACTCATTAATTACTTGGAAAATATAATTATTTATTATATAATAATATTATTTATTCAGTATATAATCTTTAGATTAAAAATTATTGCAACAAATTTTATATATAATATTATAAGTTATTTTAGGACGCAATCGGAACTTGAAAATTGTGATAAAAACTTAGAAATTTATATTGACTTAAATAAACAGATAATTAACACTGAATTAAACAACGATCACGATACATTATTAATTTGTTGGATTAATTTATCAGTAAATATGAAAACTAGAAAAATAAATAAATTTAAATCAATCAATATTTTAAATAACATTAGCGGAGGGTTTGAAATGAAAAGTTTGAATGCATTGATGGGTCCGTCAGGTGTGGGAAAGACAACACTTTTAAAGTGTTTGAACGGAGAATATAATCATTATATGAGCGATGAATCGAAAATGTATTCAAAATTTACAAATAGTGGCAAAAATTGTTTTGTCGCTCAAAACATTAGTGAACATCTTTGGAGTGGATTAACAGTAAAACAATCACTACTTTATGCCTCAAAACTAAAGAATTCAAGATATGGTCAACATTTGGATCACAATGAGATTATCGAGAACTTGATGTCTGAGCTGTTGATCAGTGATATCATTGACAATAGGGTTGATATGTGTAGTGGAGGCGAACGGAAACGTATAGCCATTGCTTGTGAACTGACGGCTCAAAAAAGACCTAATATGCTATGTATTGACGAACCGACGAGTGGTTTGGATAGTTGTGCGGCAATTAATGTATGATTTTTATTTGTATTTTATGCTCAAATTTAATAATAATTATTAATCTTATTTTTTATATCTCTATCAGATAATTCAATGTCTTAAAGCTTTGTCAAATATTCACGACATGACAATTATTGTAAGCATTCATCAGCCAAACAATGAATTATTTCATATGTTTGATAACATCTATGTTTTGGCCAAAGGAGGCGTTTGTGTGTTTGCCGACAGACCGAAACACTTAAAGCAAACCCTTATTAATAATGACATTAAATGCGATGAAAATCAAATTCCAATCGAAGTATTACTAGAAATCGCTTCGGAGGGTAAAAGTTATGCAATTATTGGACAATTATGTGAACAACAGTTAAATCAGCGAAACATTTTGTATGAGAGAATACATTACGAAAATATGCAAACTTATGAAACAAATCAATTATTGTTTAAGCGCTTTATTTTTATGGATTTTTACAATGTTTTAAAGCGAACAATGATTTATACATATGTTTCTAATTGGAAATCATTATTGCTTCTGTGCTTTATTTATCAAATATTGGGCATAAATTTATTGATCAGTTATAACAGTGATATCATTAAACCCAACGCTTGTCTTGAAGTGGACTTCACGTCAGGAATCGCTTGCAATAAAACAATTGAAAAATTATTGGAAGAAACTTATATTCAAATGAACTTAAAGTATAGCATTTTAGTCGCAACTTCTATAATGAGTGTTGTATTAGTGGTTATGTCTGCAACCTTTTGCATCGATATTCCTATATTTAATAGAGAGCATCGAAATGGTATGCATTATATTTTTATTATATTAACTCATGAGAGAGAGAGAGAGAGAGAGAGAGAGAGAGAGAACAAATTTCTGTAATTTAATTAATATGTGTGAAATTATTGATAGGTTGGTACAGTTCTGGCGTTTATTTCTTGGTTAAAACATTGGTTGATATCATCCCAATTGTCATATCTTTAGTGCCATTTTGTTGGATATTAAACTTATATAAATCAAGTAATACTTATTTAATATATTACTTCTCTATTTTGCTTTCCTTACTATCGGCGCAAAGTTTGGCTCAAATATCGGCAATAATTTTCAATAAAGACATCAGAACTTCAATAACAGTTTCGATTGGGTTTTTGCTAACCGACTCCATATTTAACAACACTATCATATATTTCAATGATTTGCATTATAGCCTACAATTGGTGAGCAATTTATCGTTTGTAAAGCCCGCCTACGAATGCATTGTTATTATGATATACGGCTTTAACCGCTGCTCTGATAGCGAGATATCAACAGTTTTATACGCCATGGGTTTAACTGATGATGACTTTTGGCCAAATATTTTTCACTTAATATTTTTGGCTATACTTTACAAATGTGTTACACTTTTTATATTTATAATTAAATTTAATAATTTATCTGTTGATAGAAAGGAGAATATATTAACGATAGAGAAATATAGAGATATTTAAACAAACAATATTTTTAAAAATTTATTACACTTATAATTAAAATAGTGTAATAAATGTAATTATAATTTAGCTATAATTTAATTTATAAATAAATTAACGAAACTTAAACGCAAATTAAAAATTTATAATGGAGTCATAATATGACTAATATTATTAAGTTTTACTTAAAAACAACACAATGTGTCATAACATATAATGGCTAATAAAGACTACTTTCAGTTTGTTTCACTCCTTTCACTTGTTTTAATCAATTGATGACATTTTAAAATCATGAAATTCACAATTTATTTGATAATTGTGTGTATGGTTTACGGTATAAGACTGTCGTCGGCGCCGCTCATTACCACTGGAATTAAAGATATGCCAATTCCAAGTGTGACTACTATAGCACCAAATCGGACCTACTTTAACACACGTGAAGAGTTGGAAGCGACCAAATTGGTGGTCATAAACCCGGGCGTGTGTTTGGGTCGGGTATCCATATTCATACCGTCGCCGCCCCACACGAGTGGCCAGTATTACGAGCGCCGACAGACTCTGAGAAACACATGGGTTAAGACCGCCAAACAACTCAATATAAGTATATATTTCGTGTTAGGACTCAATACTGACGAAAAAATTAATCAAATGGTGGCTAAAGACTCGGCAATATTTGGAGATATCATACAATTTGGTTTCATTGATACCTATTATAATCTGACGCTAAAAGTGATTTCAATGCTCCGTTGGATTGACAGCTATTGTATGGACAGTGAGTTAATAATCAAATGCGATGACGACGTCCTCATTAATCCACACCGACTGATGAGTCAATACAAGAAGTTTAAACCGGGTATAAGTGGAGTTAAGGTGGAGTTGGCGAACCCCATTAGGACTGTCGGTAACCGATGGTATCAACCGTACAATACATACGCCGACGAGTATTACCCAAAATACGTTTCGGAAGGAGTTTATGCGATGACCAAAAATGTGTGGCGCGTATTGTTGGATGCGATCGATGGTCACCGCTATTCGGGTCTCATTCTTGATGTCGAGGATGTATTCATAACCGGTTGTGTCGCTGAGTCGGTCGGCATTGATAGGCATATGACCGATGAGTTCGTGTTTAGCGCCTGTTATCGGGACCCGACTTACTTGACGGCACTCGTCGAATGTCCGGTCGATACTCGAAACGTTTGGTACAACTATTTGTTGCGATTACTATTAGACGGACACTTCATTCATGCAATAAGTTTTCACTTCCAATTAATTACAACAATAAATGTCATTATTTTAACACTTTATATAGGTTTTACAATATTTTTGTTATACCTATCGTATCGTTATTTTCGTTTCTTTAAATATTTATTTATAAGAATCATAAATAGTTTAATGATTTTATTATTATAATCACATTATTGTTTGCATTTAATTATATATCTATATTAATAACTAACAAAAATATTATCTTTACTAAATGTAATAATATTAAGCAATTACAGTAATTAATTTTGAGTGTCTCAATTTCCCTGAATTAAAATGTATTTAACTAAAATGTAAATTAAACCAAATTTTGTTTAAATACTACAATAGTAAAGTAATAGTAATAATTTATATTATAATACTTTTGTAATTACATTAACAATAATTTACATCAAAATTATTGAATAAAAAATATTTGAAATGTTTAAACCAATCTACTATACAGTACACGAATATAAATGCGACAAAATAAACGTAAATATGATTTTACAACAAATTATATAAAGTAAAATATATTATATTTATATTTTTACATTTATAGAATTTTTTACTTTCTTTTACTAATCTAAAGCTAAAAGTGATTTCAATGCTTCGTTTGATTGATAGCTATTGTATGGATAGTGAGTTAATTGTCAAATAAGATGACGACGTCCTCCTTAATCCACACCGACTATTAAGACAATATAAAAAGTTTAATCCGGGTATTAGTGGCTATAAAGTATGGGAGAAACCCATTAGGACTGTCGGTCATCGTTGGTATCGGCCGTACAATACATTTGCCACAGAGTATTACCCGCTATATGTTTGGGGAGCAGTCTATGCAATGACGGGAAATGTGTCGCAAAGACTATTAGATGTGATCGACGGACACCGATATTCGGGTCTTATTCTGGATATCGAGGACTCGTTTATCACTGGTCTGATCGCTGAGTCGGCCGGCATTGATAGGCATATGACAGACGAGTTCCTATTTGGCTCTTGCTTTGAGGATGTGGTCAGTTTGCAACACGTGATGGCAGTGTCCAACTGTCCCGATGGACAACGTATGAAATATATTTCGTTCAATCATTTGTAGCCATCATTTAACGTATATAACAATCAAATAGTTTTCAATTCCGACTAATGACAAAAGTTAAATAGTATTAATTGCATCCATGTACAATTATAACTTAAATGTAACTAACATAATATGTCATAATATATAGAGAATACAATTAAATTAACATTTTTTGTATTAACATGCAAGTTTAATTTATAGTTTAAAAATATTAAAATAGTTTGTGAAAAACTTATTAATTTAAATTATAATTTTACAAAATAACGTTTAAAAATTATTTTATGTAATTAACATACATTGTCTAAATGTATATGTCTAAATGTTTTAAGTAAATATTAACATATTGATTTATTCTTCTATAAAAATCTAATTCATTATATAATTTAATTGGAAAGAATCATATTATTAATCAGGAAAGTGAACTGTTAAAATGCTATCAAATAATAGTTGCTTGTTAGTTTTTAAATTTAGACAATTTTATTACCATATTTTTACAAACGATTAAAATATGAATAAAATAATTATAATTATTGGAAAGTAATATAATTATCCACTTTTGACAATCTTTGTAATTGAGCCCAATTTAAAGCCTGCGATCGCCTTTACAGTCAAATGCCCCTCATTTGTAATGATAGCCTCCTGACCAGCTTTGCCCCCTTCGGCCGCCACCAGAATCGCATCGGCCGACTCTTTCTCCACAACTGGTTTCACATCTAATTTTAGTATAAATTTTTAGTTTAAGTATAAAAACATTAATTAAGTTTGATTTTGTATACATTTCTCATATAACGGATCTGTAATTGATTTCAATTCTTGTTTTTCATCAACATTTATGGCATTATTTTTTC